ACATCATGATTCTTTTCCAGGGTTTTCTTTTGTTCCTGATGTTGATGTCGATTTAGAGTATGTTTGGCAAAGCTTTTAGGTGCTTATAAATTGGTCAAACATCATTTTTAACCACACATCCTTAAGACCCACAACTTTTATCTACTTTTTCACTAAAAGTCCTTTCGGACCCACTGCTTATAAGCACTTTAAACTTTAGCCAAGCAAGCACTTGTACTATCTCTGTTTTGATTGTGCAACTCGCCTAAATGAAAGATAAATGGATATTACATTTTATAGATTCAAGTGTCATGGACTCGCTTTCTGTATTTGATTTAATTTGAAGGAAATAAATGTTGCCAAGTTGGTGTCCTCCTTTAGGCTGCAGCTTGTTTACTCAGAGGTTTTTCATATGGTAGATACATCAATGAATTGTACTACCTGAATAATCTGCAATTCTAAGTTTTACAAATGAAATGATTTGTCATTTCTGTACACTGCTAGAACAGACGTCTCTATTTCTAAATTTTGGGAAATGGTCTATCATATAATTCTGTATCAAGATTCTTTCATATAAAATGGGAAAGAATCTCTAGTTGATTTGTCGTTATGAGATTCCCAATATTGATATTAACTATAATTGTCAATTTATGTGGTTGCATTCTCATTCCGTCATCTACTGTTTTCAGTTGGAGGCTGTCATTGAAGCCGAGAAACAAGCTGCTAGAGACTTGGTTCGGGAAAAGAAGAAAGATAGAGCTTTATTGACTTTGAAGAAAAAGAGGGTTCAGGAAGACTTACTGAAGCAGGTTGATGCTTGGCTAATCAATGTTGAGCAGCAAGTAAGTTTCCTTGATTTTGTTGTTTTCATTGTTTTTATTCTTTTGTCTTTTCTACTCCATAACTTCATGCATTGTTGTAAAGCATTTTATTCAATTCTGGATCTGTATATATCATGGTACTTGATTATCAAAGTGTTTTAGTTGGCAGATGTTGAACTAGCTAGCAAGCAGAAAGCAGTGTTTGAGAGTTTGAAGGCAGGAAATAATGCTGTTAAAGCGATACAAAGTGAGATCAATATAGATGATGTTCAAAAATTGATGGATGATACTGCTGAGGCAAAAGCTTATCAAGATGTAAGATTCTCATCGTTGTTCGTCCTGCTTTTTTTGTTAATAGTTGGATCTAAGCAATATTGCTTGATTAACTGTTTTTTTGGCAATAGAGAATCAAAAGTTTTAGATCCTTACTTGATTTTTTTTTTTTTAAAGATATTGGTATCTAGAAGGTCTTCTTCCCTGTTTATGCATCTGTCTTAGCCATTTTTGTGTGAACAGCAATAGTCTGTAATTTGAAAACATTATATTGTGTAAAACATTTTACATACAAACTTTCCAAAGATCTTTCATGGTTAGATGAGAGTGGAAAAAAGGACGACATAGCATTGAATAGAAGTCACTAACCCTTCGGTTAATGTATACAAAGTATGCTGCTTGCCCATGTGATTGAAAAAGAAAATACTCAGTATAAACTTGGCAATTCAACCACTTCTTTTATAAGAAGAGACAAATTCAGGTTAATTAACTTGTCCTCGCTATCATACACATCGTTGAATATTGCCTCACACAAGTATGAAACAGAGCCATCTTTGTTGTGAAAGTTTATTAACATTTCCATAGTGGGAAAGTGAGAGAGATGTGCATAAATGAATCATGCTAAATATTTTACTCGCTATTTGGAATTGGATGACTTCATTTCCTTTTGGGGTCAGGAAATTATGTGCTCTGTCATACAATAGATTTTATTTCCAAAAGTACCTTTCTTAAAGCATATAATACATGATGTGAATGTTGAACATTCTTGATAACAATTTTTATTTTGACATAAAACTCCACAGAGATTTTCGATGGCGATATTAAATCTCAGATGGGGAATAATTGTCTTTATTTATGTCTTCTTTAGTGGAACCAACAACTGTACAATTATCATTTGATCTTGATGTATCCAGAGAGAGGAAAAGAGATTCCAAGATGATGAGCCATGAATTGGGATATCAAAATGGCATCTATTTGACTTCTATTTCTGCTTTTTTTCCTTTGGTTCTCATGTTTTCTCTAACACCCGATCACCCACCCTTCTCATTGAGGAGTTTGTCCCCTGGTTAATATCAAATCTAATATGAGTTATACATCTTCACTAACAACAATAACCACCAGCAATGCCTTATTAAACATAAAAGTGACATCAACGTAAAGTTACAATGAAATTGCTTTATAACTATAGTTAAGTCTGTTCTCTAACTCTTCCCTCTATATTTGTGTGCATTGTATTTTACAGGAGATCAATGAAATTTTGGGAGAGAAGCTATCGGCAGAGGATGAAGAGGAAATCTTGGCAGAATTTGAAAATCTCGAGACTGAGGTCTGTACTTTTTTATGCAAACAATTGACACTAAAGTTTCTAATATTTCTCCTGTTACGAGATCGATCAATGTGCTTCTACTTCCATGTTCTGCTAGGTTTTCATGCACTTATCTATGAATAGATTATGGTCAGTGTTAGAAATTTAGAGTTTGGATGATTACTGTTTGACTTCCGGGCAATGCTTAATGTATCTATCTGGCAAACAGGCAGTCATGTAAAACAAAGATATATGTGGCACCTCCAGATCTGTTTAGGCTACATTGTTTAAACATTCTTGCATAACTAGGTTGTAATCCTACACTGAGGGTCACAAATGGAGGTTTGATGGTGGGTGGGGTGTAACAGAATTTTTTCTAATCATAATGTAGAATTTGCATGTGCTTAGGGTTATTTAATCTCCATTGTGGGGTTCGAATGCTACGTTCAGCAACCACAAGTAGGAATTATGTTTAGTTGTTACTTAAGCAAGATGTTTCTTTATTTGTTGAGGAATAGGCCTTTTATTCTACAAGTTTTTTTTTTCTTTTCTTTTTTCTAAAAACAACAAACATTTCATAGATGGTCTAATCGGAAAAGATAAGTCTGCTGTGACAAATAATGTGAGACGGGGATGTAAAAATGAGGATTCAAACGGTCTTATGGGCACCCTCTCTCACATGTTTTCATCTCTTTCTCTCGTGAAGGGGTTATGGCACAGTAGTCATGTAAAAGATGGTTTCCACGAAAGAGATTGTCAACTACCCATCATTCCATATAAAATGGTTAGAGAAGATTTCTGGCTCCAAGACTGCATCTATCACACCATAATTTTCTCCATCATTCTTTTTCCACGCAAGTTGACCTTTCAACCTAATGGAGGAAGACAATGTATTGCATTCTACATGTTTACATTATAGAGTTTGCTATTGATAACTGACAAGAGATGAGATTTTTAAGACTTTTTAAAAGCTCTATGCGCATTGTATTAAGCCTTTTAGTTTTAGTAAGCAGCTTTAGATTAATAAAGCTTTAGTTTCTCTCTATTTGATTGACCACGTAGCATGACACCAAGATATATCCAAGTTCCACTTCTAATCTTCTCTCTTGGCCTGTTGATTATTTCTTCCTCTTGGATTTTGTCTTTTGTATTAAAACAGTTTTGTGATCAATTTATCGCATAAACATAAACCACAGTTATCAAATTAAGGAACGTTATGGTTTTGTACAGATGACCCTTCAAGACCTGCCAAAAGTGCCTTCTGCAGCACCAGCTATTGAAGAACAAGAAGATAAGTTGGATCTTCCTGATGTTCCAACCAATGCACCAGCCATTCCCGAGACTGTGGCTGATTCTGCACCAAGAAAAGGTCTCTCTCCCTCACATAAGATTCTAGAAAGAATTGAAGAGATTAATTAATTTCACCTAAATTTTGGCATTTTATTTTCCATATCTGTGCAGTTATGGAGGAACCATTACCTGCTTGATGGTGACACTGCAACTTGCATCCAGATGCCACATTTTAACTGTGTTTCAATATTTATTTGAAACTTGAAAAGATTAACATACTTGTGAATAATATTGTTAAGTTTCGTTGTGACAGTATTTACCTATCAAATTGTGTACAGTAGTATTTATTTTGGTTAACGAACGACTTTGTATCTCCTGCTGAGGGGATGAAATATTAGTTTCTTTGCAATCGTTGGAGTACATTGATTCATATGGTATGGGACTTAAAGCTTGGAAGTGTCCGAGTTATGTGACTCTCTACTTGAATTCTTGAATTTAAAATACTCTCTCCTTGTTTTCATTTTTCATTTTTTTTGCAAGAACTTGAACTTATTTCTAATCCCAAGTTCCTAGCGTACTCTTTTATTTCTCATCAATTGTTTTTACATGATTAATCATATGACAAGATTTTATTTTGGTCGTCTCATTATGCACGTCAACTTTATTTTGGTACTCTTTAAGTGTTGGTAGATCCGCTGCCATAACTCTCACATGCAATACGTCGAACTTGAATTCAGAATAGTCAAATGTGATATGCTGAGTAAATATGAAGAGAGAAATTAAAACTTTGTTTATTACATAGATTAATGCCATTCAGTATTGCGTACAAAAATGGAAGAAAAGACAGAGAAAACCATCTTAATGGGAAAATGCTAGACCAGATCCCAGAACAGGTTTGCCACCAGGAACCCATCAAGTTTACTTCAATCTACTACCATTCACCACTTGGATTCAAATTCTTTAATCTTTTAATTCATCAAAAGTGAATTTCAAGGGCTTTCAGCATTCTATTCACATATACAAGTATAGAAACATTATTAAAAACGCATGTTCATTCGAATTATTTTCACAAATACGCATTAAACATTAAAAGACGGAATGGAATAGGATATATATTGCAAATCATTTGATATCTGAAAGGTCCTATAGCTAAAGATATAATCAACAATGAGAAAGACATCATCCTTCTGATAAACAAGGTATGAATGTGCACTGCTGTTTTTCTTTTTCGGGTAGACAAAAATCATCGAATCTGTGCATTTCTACAAGCAAGAGACGAATTTCACTTGTTGAACAACATATGGATAAATTAATAGCGCTATAGACTTAAATTAATCCAGATAAAAGAGAGTAACGATCTTCCTCATATTCTTCGCTTCTTGACAAGTTTCCATGAGCAATCTACTATCATGAAATGCAAAGCAAATAACTTGCTGTACTTGTGAGATGATGTCCATGTTGCATAGCCTGCATTCACCATGACAAGCACGTAAAAATCTATTCGCTACTACTGAGAATTGATGAGGTTAGAGCATGTTTGACTAAGCTTGAAATTAACTCAAAACACGTTTGATAGTTTACATTTTTCAGCTATGATATGTTGCGGAATAAGTACATCCTGATTACAGAATAAGCGATATATTTTTTGGGAATTCCACAACCCAGCATAAAAGTCAGTAATCCAGTTCGATGTCTTATTTGCTTGCATATCGTCCACTCAAAAGTTCAGCCAAGCAGTAAAAGTTCAACAACAAAAGGGAAAAAGAAGATGCTTCTCAATTGAGTACCTGCTAGCTTCTATCAATGGGAGATGATCGTTGTGGGGCTTCTCTATTACATTTTTTACCTGCATATCCAAGAAAGAATTTGTTGTTTAGAATCAGAAAATGCTGGGTTTCAATGATTCCCACCCCTTCACAGGACACAAAAGACCCCATCCCCCCCCCGTCTTTCCGAGTAGAGTTGTGCTTAAAACATCCAGTGGCACCTTGCCCTAAATCAGGCTATTCAACAATACAAGTACTCCATCCAAAGACGAGCATGCTCATGTCTGTTCAAATACGATCTTGAAAGAAAACTAAGAGTGCGTTTTATTAACATGGAAAATATCTTCTAGAAAATAAAATATTTTCCTTGTTTTGAGGAAAATAAAAACCTACTCCCCCTAAAAAATATGTTTTCCTTAAAAACAAGGAAAATTAGGCATATTTTCAAAAGTCGGAAAATATTTTCAATGGAAAAAAATAGCAATCAAACACTCCAAAGTAGGAATTTGGGCAGAAAACTGACATTTTCCATGGAAAATAAATACAATCACACACACCCTAAATGATCAATGAAACATCCCTCATGCCAAGAGAAAAGACTAACAGGAAAAATACATGCTCAAAGGAATAATATTACCAACAGTATATCCAACTGAAGGAGTAATCAAACTTAGCAAAAAACAGATTGGATTTTACTTTCGTGAAAAGAGAGGACCAAGAAAGTTCATAATGTAAAATAAGAAAGTGCATATTCACATTTTTCCAAATATCAGCAAGTTAATATTCACACTAAAAACCAAAAGTAATGTTTAAAGTGTGTTTAGAATGGGGGTCAAGTATAACAGTTTTCTATTTGGAGTAAAAAAAACATCACATTTAGATGCTCCTATCATGATTCTACAAAACCAGATCTCTGCATACTCTCCATTCTTCCCATACCTTGGAAGTATTTCTGAAATGGCAATTGTTGGGGGGATAAGTGAAGAATCTATGATAGATATAGTAGAAAAGAGGAGGACAACATGTCATCGATTAAAAAGAACTGAAAAGTTGATAATTTAGGCAAGAACACGTTCTAATTGCGTTAGATATTTCAATCTATCCCTAGATTTGATGGCAAACGAATTAGTCGAGAAAGGAGAAATAAAAGCTTTCCCGAATATAGAAAATAACACGCTCCATAGATCCCGAACAATAGTGCAACGTATAAAGAGATGGAAATGTGCCACTATTTGAACAGCTCAATACACCAACATTCATGAAGGTTTAAGATTTCAAGTCAAATTATATTGTCGCCTTATTTCCATGTCTTCCTGAGTGGGGTTGTGCTTTGGTGAAAATGCTTGATTACTTCCTAATCTGACACCCTTGCACAATGGGAAACCATATGCATTTAGACTCTTCACCTAAGCCCTAAGAAGATAGCAATTGGAAAAGCAAAAGGATTGGTTTGAAGCTTTTAGCAAAAGTATAAAGCAACTGCAGGTCCGCATAAAAATGAATCAAATGCCATCTAAAAGAACATAACATATATAAAGAATAGTCTTGAACAAATAAATAAACAGAAATAAAAAAGTTTATGTGATCCCCCGATTCTTACTTTAGAAAGTAACTCTTGACTCTCAGGAGGTTGCTTTTTCAAACTTTGTGGCAATATTACAGTGAGAAGCTCTGGTTTTTCAGCACGAAGAGCACCTCTAATTACAGCAGCATTAGTACCTGAAGCTC